ACTGAACACCAATATTTTTGTAAGTGAGTTCCATTTGCATGTCTGAAATCTTTTTTCCCTAGTCATGCTGCTAATGACCAGCATCATCATCATCATCCCATGTAGAATTCCTGTGCTTCCAAAGTAAACCTTGTAAGAAGCAGAAGGTACCTCGCTCCTTCACAATGATGATACCATCTGCAACTGTCCTTGTAGAAGAAGAAGGGATAGCAGTTTTTCTGAAGGATGAGTAAGTCCTTTGACCAAAGTACTGCCAAAATTGCTGCTACTGACTCTGGGCATGACCCCTCGTTGGCCTGCCCAAGTAAAGAGCTCTAGGAAGAGTTTGAAAAGGGCACAGCATCCACGCAGGTCTTATGCTTCAAAGCAGGGGAATTGTTGCCAGAGGTTGATGGGTTTTAGTGGTGATTTCAATCATGCTGTGGCTGTGCTGTGCGGAAGGCAGGCACTGAGCTGTCTCAGCCTGTGCTTCTCATTTCCCTGCTGTTGGCTGTTTCTATGGCCCACGTGCCTTCACCTCCACGGGAGCCCCCTCAGAAGGCTCAGTGGCTGTTCTTTCATCGTTCTTTTGCCCCTGCTCAACCCCTTGATTTACACTGTAAGAAACAAGGAGGCAAAAGCTGCTCTGAGCAGGTTCGGGAGCTGGGATTTGTTCCCATGAAGGAAACAACGGACAGGGTGCCGTGACCCTCACCTAAAGACCGCTGTTCACTGGGGAGTTGGGGATCCATGTAAGAGATAAGCTGAGGAGGCCCTGGGCTCTGCCGTGCTGTGCTCCATGCAGAGCTTGGCCTTCAGGCCGGTGTTGTGCTGCACAGCCCCCTTGGCCACAGGACAAGCTCGGGAAGATGAAGAACTCCTGTAACCGAGGAGCCTGTCGGCAGCTCCTGCTCAGTGCCACTGACTCCACTGCCTGTTCCGTCCGTAGCTGCCCGGCTGTTGCAAAAGGTTCATCCTGCTTCCCCATCCCTGTCAGCTCTGAGCGCTCCTTGCTCCCTGAGTACATGCAGCGCTGAGCTTGGAATGAGGAGCCCTGGCTGTGTTGCCAACCAGGAGAAAGCTGGAGGCCGTGGCAGGTATGTGCCAGTGGGGAGATAGAATGGGACACCCTCTTAATGTCAGTGGGATGAGAGCTCTAGAGGCCCAGGGGCAGCTGAGAGAAAATCTGCCACTTTGCATTGGAATGGGAGAACTGTGGGATTGCAGAGCCAGCTGAGAGCTCCTGTGGTGCCAGCAGGTGGCTCAGGAGAGGCAGGGAGAGATGGACTAAAGGGGAGAGAAAAGCAGGAGAAGGGCTCTGAGGTATCTCTCCTCTCTCCTTTCCAAGGGTAAGATCATCTGAAGAGAACTAGTGCAAAACCATAGGTATGTGTACCAACATTTCTCAGCCTTTTCCTGTTATTCAAGAGTACTTCCCCATATGGACCTGATAAGGTTGCTGAGGGTTTCCTGAGGAGAAGAAGTCTGCCTTCAGGAGTAGGACTTACACAGCAGTTTCCCCAGGAAGGTGATGAGGGTGAGATATCCGAGGGGGAAGTCGAGACCAAGCTGCCCGTTTGCTGAGTGAGCGAGAGTTAGAAAAGCACCTGCCAGCCCCGAGATAACAGAGCTGCCGGCAGCGACTCCGTTGGGGGAGCAAAGGAAGAAGCAGGGAAGAGAAATAATCTGTTCTTCCTGGGCCTGAAATGCTCCTGGTGGGTTTCTCCCCGCTCCAGCAGCAACCCCTGTGGCTCCCTCAGCCAAGGGCATTCTCAGCGTCTCCACAGTGAGGGGCCCTGGGGGCTGTGGGGTCCCCCCCCAGTCGTGGGAAGGGGCTGTTCCCAGTCAGCTCGCAGTGGAGTCCCCTCCTTCCCAGCCAGAATCCCCTGCTCTTCTGCACCCCCACTGCTGGGCCATCTGGGAGGTCAGGGCTTTCACATCTTCCCCTGGGGTTGCAGCTCTCTGGGGATGTTGCTGTGTCTTCTGGCAACAGGAGCCTCCTCCATGTCTGTCACTTCTCCCTCGTCCTTCCTCAGCTTCCAAAACCTGCCTCTGGAAGAGTGAGCCTGAACTGGTTGCAAAAGGGCCACGTCCAGGTGGATTTGGAGCACCTCCAGGGATGGAGACTCCACAAGCTCACTGGGCATCCTGTGCCAGTGCTCCCTCACAGTGAAAAAGGTTTCGCTGGTGTTCAGACGGACCCTCCTGCGTTTCACTTTGTGCCCATTCTCTCTTGTCCTGCCCTAGAACACCACAGGGAAGAGCCTGGCTCCACCTTCTTCACATCCTCCCTTCGGATGTTTGTGGGCGGGTGATGAGAGCTCCCCTGAGACTTCTCTGTGCTGAACAGTCCCAGCTCTCTCAGCTGGGATCAGCACCCGAGAGTCACTGCAGCCTCTTCATCATGCAGAGTGGCCCCTTGCCTGGCTGTCTGCAGTCCGCCTGTGCCACAGAGTTCCCAGGGAAAACACACCCCCCCTTACACCCTCTGGAGTCACAAGCACACCGCTCAGCCATCAGTCCCTCCAGCTGCTGGCCCAAAGAGAGAAAGGCCCTGTGACCCGTCTCCAGTGGGCGGCAGCCAGGTCTGAAATCCCAGTAAGCACTGGTTGGTCCCCCAGTTCCTGGCACCCAGCTCACTCTGTCACCCCGCTCCCTCCAGTTCCTGGCACTCAGACCTTGCAGCACCCACACACGGGAGAGGGAGGGAAGCTGCACAGCAGGACGGTTAGGAAAGGATTTGCTAAGAAGGCAGGGGGGCTGTGGGCCCAGGCACAGGGCTGATCCCGACCAGTGCACCCACCAGCCCCTGCTTGGGGCCAGGTACCTCCTTTTATCCTTCTGCCTCTCTATTGCCTCCCCTTGCAGAGGGGAGCAGAGGCTGTGGCAGGTGCCCCCGCCCGATGACAATGTGGCTCCCTGGCTGTTGAACTTCCCCTGTGCCCTTGTTCTCAGGGCTTTACGGCAGTTGGGCTCCTCGGCCAAGAGGGGCTGGGATTGACCACAGGTCAGATCGGGCTCGGCTAGAAATGGAGTCCCCTGGGGGAGCCTTTTTGAGCTGGTGCGGACCAGAGCAGCGTCCTGCAGGTAAGGCCTCTCGCCTTGGGCTGGGACTGGGCCCAAGGAAACTCCTTGGCATTCCTGTGGGTTGGGACGCTGCCCTAAGGTGTTCCTTGATGTGGAGAGTCCTTTTCTTTTATTAGGTGAGTGACTCTCCTGGGCATTTGAACCTGCTGTTTCTATGTTTGGGGAGTGCTGATTAATTGTGCACAAAAAAACCCTTTATTTTTCATTCTTTACTTGAGAGTTTCTGCAACAATTGGCATAGTCGGCAGGAGGTCGATAGAGGAGTTATTGTATTGTTGTGTCTTCTGTCTCCCAAATGTATAACAGGGGAAGGAGAAGAGGTTTAGTTTCTGGGTGTTTGTGAGAATGTGAGAACAGAGCTGTGGTAGTTTTTGGGATGGGGGAAGTAAAGGGCATATGTGCGCCACCTTAGGTAACTGTTGGATGCAGGCACAAGAATATTTTGTAGTGGTGAAGAAAGAGAACTTTGGGAAAGAACTGGCAATTGATTGCTTGAGGGTAGAATTGTTCCCAGAAAGAGAGAGGCGGCGGTACGGAATATCGCTTGCCGCGCCGGTGGACCCCAGCCACCACAGACCTCTTATTAGAGGGTCCCGCATGTTTTAAAGGCACCTGTGCAGTCCCTGAGGGAAAGGGTGCAAAGAGCTGTTGGTCTGACCAGCCAAGCCCTCTGACCCCTGTGTATGTGTACTAATGTGGGCAGAAATGCTCTGTGATGGGGTTTTGGGGTCTGTGAGAGGGGATGGACTGAGCCGGGTGCTGGCGTGGTCAGAAATGGGAAGTTTCAGAAATGTAGTGAGAAAGTCCACCCCGAGCAGCCTCCTGGTAGGGGACCTGACCTGCCCGGGATAGGTTCCAGACCATCTTATGATTTGGGAAGGAATGGTCCTTGGCAGGAGGGGTTGGCATTGGGGGCACCCCAGCAATGTTACCTGGGCAATCCAGAGATAACATTCAGAAACTGGTGGAATTGCTGGAGGGGAAATTGGAGGACAAAGGGAAATGGCAGGAATCCTGCTCCCTCCCTGGGGAAGGGAACTGTAACCCTTTTGTGACATGAGGAGGGGAACTGAGAGAGTTAAAAACTAGAAGCTGCTGTTTGGGGTTTGGGCCGCCCAGTCTGCATGGTGAATTTTTATTGATGGTTTGTTGGTAAGGAGCTTTATAGACATATTCTTGTGGGTCCCAGACAGATAAGTTTCTAATTTTGAATTGTTTTCAGGGGCCGAAATTAGTGTTTTAAATAGTCAATAAACTACTGAGTTAAGACAGAAATTATCAAGAAAGTTTATAAATATAAAAGGTGCGATGGCGGTTATGGAAAAATATCCCATAGTGCAAGCGTAGGTTTGGTTATCAGGGTGTAAGAAACTATGAACTAAGGGTATTGTTTATTGAAATTTATGTTAAGCTCAATGTAAAGGTTAGGCGGCAAAAAGACAAAAAAACTGCTTATGCAAATAGCTGCCAGACACTGCTTGTGTGAGACAAGATAACCTGTGAGACAAGATAACCTGTGAGATAAGATGACTGCGTGAGATAAGATAACCGCAATTTGCTTACACTAAAAGATACTTGTGCAAGCAGAAGGGGTACTGATCAAAGACAACCACGGATGTACAAAATGTATAAAAAGGAACTGTTTGAACTGATCAGTACGGCAGTTGGCGGAGCGCAGACTCCCCTGCCGTCCAGCGCTGTCTTTGCTCATATTCTACTTGCTATAATTAATAAAATTATAATTGGATTATGATCCATTGTGGTCTCAATTTATAACAAGGGGAAAAGGAGGATGAGAGCCGTGGAGGTGGCATTAAGACCTTATAAGGAAAATATATTGGGGTTTGTGTTATTAGGTAAACAGCAGTGTTTACTGGATGGCGGTGGGTGGAGATTTGAAGGTGCTGGGACAAGGGTGTCTTATGCAAGTTTTTTTCAGGTTGTTCTTTTATTATTATAATTTTAAGATAAGCCGTGTTTCTCGATATTCATAGCTAACAATTGTTAAATGGGGTATTTAGTGGTAATTAGTGATCTTGAGAAAAGAGATCCTAAATTGCATCTATTACATTTATAATTTTCTAGTTTGGCCGGACCGTAAGATGGATGGTTGGTGGTAGCTAACTGTTGATTACTGGAGATTGAATAGCAATATCCCCCCTTTAACAGCTACTGTCCTGAATAGAGCATCAATAATACCAGCAATACAGGCAGCTGCTAAAGTGTGGGTGCCTGCATTCAAAGTTAAAAATATATGGGGGGGGGGGGGGGTTATTATTCCCTTAAAGAAGAGGATGAGCCTCAGTTTGCCTTTACTTGTTAAAGGACGTAAAATAATCTAACTCAGCCTTGCAGACACATCCCCTCCCTCCCCTGGGTTCTTGCACAGCCAAGGAAGCTCCCTGCACCGGGGTGTCTTGCACAGCACAGAGGTACAAGGCACTGTCAGAGACCTCAACTTCCTCCAGCTTCAGGACACTGGATTTCCCTGCGGTGTTCAGCAATGTGGTGAAACGGCCGCTCTGCTTGGAGCCAGCAGCTACCTGGTAGGAGACCAGCTGGGGGCCTTGGCCTTTCCTCTGCTGGTACCAGAGCAGGGCATAAAAGTAAGACACCTCGTATGTGCAGGTGGTTTGGAAGGTGTCTCTCTGCTTCAGCGTGACTTGCCCTTCTTGCTGGGTGACGGTGGTCTGCCCCACGGTGCCTGGAAGAAATCAAAGGTCAGTGACTGTGCAGGGAAAGTCTCCCAAATGCAAAACGAGAGGGGATGCAAAGTGTCAGATGAGAAGGCTCCTCGTGGCCTTCTCTACAGGCAGAGCCCCGTGGGTGGGAACAGCAAACTGTTGAGGGTCTTTGGGCAGGAGGTCTGAGACCTCAGCTCAGCGTGGATTCCACAGCACAATAATGCCCATTACTTCCCACAGGGATACCCCCAGAGAGAGCTGTGCTTTCACCCCGGTCTTCCATCCTGACTCTCCTGCTGTCCGGAGTCTCCAGGGAAGAGCCTGTAGTGCCTGGCCCTCCTGTGCTGGGTCCACAACACCCCCAGCAGGGTGAGGCACCAGGGAACTCCTGCAAGATGTTGCATCCTCTTCCCCATTGCCTGTCCTCTCAAAAGGCTCCGTGGTCCAGGAAGGGAAAAGGAAGCCCTGGCAGCGCAGACACGCAGGAGGAATGGATAGCCAGGGCATGCTGCCTGGCATGTGCCAGCCAGGAGAGAGACTGGGACATCCTGAGAACAGGAGTGGGATGAGGGAGCTTTCATGTCCCTGCATCAGCTTTCAAAGTCCTGCGCCCTTGGGCTGCAAAGGCAGACAATGTGTAGTGCAGAGAGAGGGGAGCTTCTGCAGTGATCCGTCTGTGAAACACTGAGCCCAGCCAGGTCAGCAGAGAGAGGCAGAGAGCTGGGCATCTGGCAAGAGAAAAGGAAGGGCAGGGGTCCGAGATGATCGGGAGAGCAGCTGTTTCTTCTCGGTCTCAGCCTGTGCTTGCCAGCAGTAAGAGCACCTTGAGAAAGCCGGTGCAAAGCCACCCTTGTGATCTGATGCTTCCCAACGTTTGCCCAGAGTTGAAGAGCAGCTCCCTGCAGAGAGCTGTGCAGGGGGGGAGGGTGTCCGGGGGAGAAGAGGAGGCCTGGGGACAGTCAAAGCCAATGCTTACCCAGTGGTTTCCCCAGGCATGCAGCCAGGATGAGATACTCGAGGTGCGTGCTGAGACCCATCCTCCTGCAAGTGGGAGAGAAACAAACCCCCTCCACGTCCCCACCAAGAGCCGCGAGAGAGCCGAGCTGCCGGAAATGACTCTGCAAGGGGAACAAAGAATGAACCGGGGAGGAGAAAACGCTTGTTCTTAGCACGCCCGAAATGCCTGTGCTCTGCTCTTCTCTCCTCCAGCAGTGACACGGGTTGCTCCTGCAAAAAACACCTTCTGCCATTCCAGGGTGAGGGCTGTAAGGGGGATAGGCCTGCACCTGGTCACCAACCTCTCTGACACATCCTCCTGTGCAACATGTTGGCAGTCTCTCCTTCCCTGATTCCCGTGTCTTCTCTCCTTCCATCCTCAAGCCCTTGCCTGGGTTGCCCTCTCCTGGCTCCTGCACACGGTCTAGCCCCAACCTCCTCTCAGCACACCCCAAGGCTGCAGCTCTCACGAACATAACAGTCAGCAAGCCCAGACCCTGCAGACACCAACTGTCCCTCTAATTCCACCCCTCCCGCTCCTGGCACGGTGGACTTTCTCTTTCATTTAAAAAAGCTACCTCCAGAACCAATAAATGAAATTTCTTGCCATACTGTTAATCCCAGCTCATAAACCAGCTTCTGAAAAGCTCACCCTAAAGCAACCAACCAGCCTTTCCAGTTGACCATAACCCTTCCATTCTCCGTTTCCTCAAAACCAGTAGAATCTCCACGTGTCCTCTCCTCACTTTTAGAAGAAGATATTTAGATTTAAAAAACAAATCAGCCAGACAGTTTTTTCTCTTTCCGTGGCAGAATTTAGTCTTGACAGGAGCTCTGCAGCTCATCCGTTCCAAGTTCCTATTCAGAACGGGTCTCCTTAGATCAAGCTGGGGAGGGCTGTGACCAGTCAAGTCTTGAAAGCTGCCAAAGCCAGAACGCGCCCAACATCTGTGGACAGTACGTTCCAGTACCTGTGGATTTTCAAGGTCAAGAGAAAGTTTCAAATAAAATGTTTCCAATGTCTAACGAGAATGTTGCAGGTTCCCAACTGTGTCTGTTACCTCTTGTCCTGCCCGCTGCGCACTTCTGAGAAGAGCCTGGCTCCATGTTTTCCACATCCCCAGAGCGCGTAGTTGCAGATACCCATAAGGCCTCCCTTGAGCCTTCTTTGCCTACGGCTCCATTCCCTCGGGGTCTCTCAGTGCATCTGAGAGCATTGGGGGATTCCCCTGGACCCACTGCCACATGGCAATACCTTTCCTACATAGCCAGGAGACCCACACTGAGCACAGCACCCCAGGCATGGTCTCACCAGTGCCAACTGGAGGAGAAGGAGCCCTTCTCTGGGTGTGCTGCCTAGCCTTTTGCCAGAGATGTGAGAGAGCAGTTGGCCTGCCTTGCCACGAGCGCCCACTGCTGACTCACCTTCAGCCAAAGGCCACCAGCCATCCCCTGCCTTCCCAGCTCTCTGACCTAGAACTTCTGTCTACAGCACGGTCCAAGCTACAGCAAGAAGCTGAAAGGTGCCTCTCCCCAGGGGGACTGTTTGCTCTTGACACAGGCCTTTGGAGGAAAATTCCTGGGTGTTTTTGTGCCCTACCTCGATGGTCGTTTCTGGTGGCAACTGCACCACAAGCGCCCCCTGCACGTGATCTGTAAAGCCAGAAAGGTATTTCAGCTTTGCCTGAGTCCATGTCCATCTGCCTCACTTCATCAGCTCTCTCCCTGGGCTCATTCTCCACCTCACTCTCTGTAAGCTACCAGATGCTGCTCCATGTGTCTGAGCAAGAGAAGCAGGTAGGCTACTTCTGCCGAGTAGCCACTCGTGTCCCAAGGCCCTGGGCACTGAAGAAGTCACAGCCACACATGTTGCGGCCGCTTTCCTCACTGGCAGACAGGCTGGGGAGCCACAGGCCCAGCCTAACCCCGACCTGCAGCATGATGTTGCCTCTGCTTTACAGACAGGCTCCATCCAGCCTTTCAGGTACCACCTGGGGAACCCCTGGCTGTTTGCGCTGCCCTGGGCTCCAAGACACCGCCACTGAGGCCAGCCTGCATTCTGGCCAGTTGGAAGCCCACCCAAGGAACGCCTGGAGAAGGGAGCCTTTGCCACTTGAAAGACAGGAGCCTCTGCCCTGGCAGAAACCAGCTTCCCTCTCTGCTTCAAAGCCCGAGAAGACGGACTTGGAAGAGGCGAGTGAGGTACTAGAGCCATACAGGCTTCCCTGGGGACCAGCTAGACAGAGGACTCTCCCCATAGGGGCTGTCTCTCAGCTGCAGCAAACTTCAGACCTTCAACCCCTTGAGGCAACCCAGCAATTCTCTCTTCGACTGCCTTCTTTGCGTGATCTTGGCACACGTCTCTTTACGAGGTGTGGCCAAGCTTTCATCCTGCCTCCAGGACTCTCCTACACACCAACAGGCACTGCATTTGGTGTGGAGAGAAACCCTCTCTAACAGCTTCCTAGGTCTTACACGGGTCCCTGAAGGTTTCAGTCATCTACACTGTTTTCTCACACCTGAGTTGAACTCCAGCAGCCCCCGGCCACGGGCTGGGACAGCTCTCACTCGAACAGGGTGCTCAAAGCCCCGTCCAGCCTGGCCTGAAGTGGACACACGCCCGAGCTGTGCCCTGGCTGCCCAGAAAGCCTGAGCTACCTCCATCCTGGAAAGCAGCGTGGCCCGCAGGTCAAGGGAGGCGATTCTCCCTCTCTGCTCTGCTCTCGTGAGACCTGCCTCGTGTCCTCCATCGAGCTCCAGAGTTCCCCAGCAGGACAGACACAGAGCAGTTCAAGTGGGCCCTCCAGGGGATGGCCGTGACAATGTTCCAAGGGCTGGAACACGACTCCTGTAAGAAAAGGCTGAGACCCTTGGGGTTGTTCAGACAGCGGGAGGGAAAGCTCTGGGGACACCTCACTGCAGACTTTCTTTCGGTACATAGAGGGAGACTCCAGGAAAGGTGGGGAAAGACTTTTTACCAGGAGCTGTAGTGACAGGACAAGGAGTGATGCTCCATCAGAGCAGCACCTGCCAAGCTCAGCAGCCCATGATGGAACACCCTGACCCAGGTGTGCTTGTTACACACACGGTGCACATCTATTATGGCTGCCCAGTGGCTAACAGTGGCAGCAGCTGCTTTGACCTTAGCAATGCTGCAGCTGCTCTCTGAGCAGATTTCGAACAAAGCGTCTGGCGGGCGCCTTGCTTCCTGATGGTGCACTTGCGGAGCACAGCTAGGAGCTGGCCTCCTTCCAAGGGAGGCCTGCCACAGTTGGGGGGAGATCTGAATCAGAGCCTCTCAGGCCAGCTGAGGACCCCTGGAAAATGCCAGCCCTGCTGGGAGGCTCTCGGGCCACAGGGCTTGTCCCCCTGGTGCGGGTGCAGTGCTGGGCACACCTCCTGCCACCAAGCCTGTTCCTCTGGAGACTGCCCAGTGCTGAAGGCAGATGTGCAGGCAGACGTCTGCGCAGTGCAGCTCCAGGGGCTCCAAGGAGCCAGGAGAAGTGACAGACATCAGCCCTTGGCTCAGGCAGCTGGAAACCTCCTCCTGATGCCACCTGCTAATTAATATTCGTTGTCTGTTGAAGAGCGGGTGTTGATTTCTTCAGGCAACTTTCTAGGGCCAGCTTCCTCTCCGGTGTCCCAGCCTCAGCATTTGCAGCTGCAGGGCATCTGGCGCAGCCCAGACACACAACCCTTTGCTGCCATGTGAGCGTGGCAGGGCGGCACCTCTCCCTCTGCTGAACTGGAACTGGTCCCAGACCTCCACAACCGCCCTACGCTCATCCCCAGGGACGGGCTGGCTCTTGTCAGACTCACTCGGGGATTATTTTGATTGAAGGTGGAGAAGCCCTGGAGCAGCAGCGCTAGGGATGGGCTCTAGCTTTGACTTTGTCTCTCAAGAACAGACTGAATTTCCAAAAAAGACCATGCAGCTTGGCCCCGGCACACCTTCTCACTCTCCTGTCATCAGAACACAAACCGTTGAACTACTTCTGTCCAAGCCACAAAGGCCCGAAAGCCCTCTGCTGCCGTCCAGTCTAACAGGGATGGCCGGCGCCTCATTTCCCTTCTCAGCACCGGGCTGCCAAGGGCTTGCCTGAAGCTGTCGGGGGCACCGAGGCAGAGAGCTGGCTGCTGGAGTCCTGGTTCTCAGAGCACGGGGAGAGGCTCTGCTTCCTCCTGTGCATCTGCTCTGTCTGCGCCCGTGGGAGGATTTGTTTCCCGGGTGTTTGCATTTGTGTGCTTTTGCAAATGCACTTGTGAGCGCCAGTGCCTGCTGTGTGTGTGAGCAAGTACATTTCTGTGTCTCCCAGACTTCAGAACCTGCCTCAAACATCCCAAATCCTCTCCCTCTTATAATCTTTTCCTTTCTAAAACTCAGCTGACCCGCTTCAAAGCTTCACCTGCAGTTCCCTGATGGCCCATCGAGCAGAGGCTGAAGAGCTCTGCCCTCCCTCCTCCTCTCCCTCATCACTTACGCAGAGACTGGGCTCACCGGGTGCCTCCTTTATCACTTTCCCTTTTGCCCGTCCTCCCCTGTGCAAGCAGAGGGCACTTGGTCAGACAGCCTCAGTGAACCATCCGCTCTGACCTTCCACCCGCCCTGACAGTGACCTCTGGTGAAGTTCCTCAGGTGAGCCAGTTCCTCACCATGCTGAAAGGCTCCTGTCCCCAGAGAACACTGGGTCCCTGGAGTCCAGGCTCTGGGGGGAAACCCCATGGTGAGCTCAGTCTTTGAAGTGTCTCCCTGCGACACCTGCAGCAACACTAAGCCATGGCTTTCACTTTCCAGGACGCCTGAGAAGTTACAAAATGAAGGAAACGGGAAAGACAGGTTGAATGCGTGCTCAGTTTCCGAGGAAGGTGAGTGTAAAAATACACTCAGGTCACTTGAAATGTCATTCTGGAAGGAGCTCGTCCACGCTCCCTATTCCAACATATTTATTCTTTGCTCTCCCTGATGTCCTGCATTTCCTACCAGGTCTGCATACACCCTCACAGGCCTTTGTGTACAGCTGAGCATGAGGACAGACCTGAAGGCCACCTCCAGGTGGGATCCAAATCTTATCATTCTTTCCCCATCCAGCACGAAATGGACTTCTCATCCACCTTTCAGTACCTCGCAGAGGTATTTTTCCCCAGGGCCAGAGGCTGAGCTTTCTTTCTCACCTCAGAAGACCTCACTGCCAACAGCCACTGTCACGGCTTACTGAGCTGACACCACTCCAGGAATTGGAACATGTTGGCCTGCCACCATGGCTGCTCTTGTCAGCCT